TAATTGTTCCAATTGTTGATTACTTTATTATTCATAGTGTTTAGTATTCTCAATTATCTTCTAGCAATTGATATTAGTATATCATGAAACTTATGTTGGAAATTTTAAGTAAGTTTAAGCTAAAGTTAACCTAACAATTCAATTGACCAATGATTAGCTTCGTATAATTTGAAGTTGCATCTTAGTAACAAACATCTCGTTTAGTATTCGATGTTACCTGATAGTATTTATTTCTTGTTAATAGGATTGAATCAGATTCTTCATATAATATTTGTTCTTTACAGTAATATTTCTGATTACATTAATAAACAACTCTTGGCTTATGGTATTATGACGCAGAAGATGCGGTTTACAGTAACTCTTCCAGGCTTTGTATGCTTTTTTTCTTTTCTTTTTTTTTTTTTTTAAAAAATTGCTTCATTGCATTATTATTATTTGATTTGAAGACGAATGGCCTAATTGGGATAGTTCCTGTGATTTGATTCGAAAACGAATTAGGGATGAAATAAAATCGAATTCTTCCTTTTTTTTATCTTTTCTTTCTATTTGTTGCAGTTAAAAAACTTATCAAAGGTGTAACGAAAGAAATTGTATTTGTTTGGATTTTATTAAAGTCCAAACAAATACAATTCATTATTCATTGTTCAGTTTAATTGAGGGCCTCCTTCATCGGGAAAAAAAAACTTGACCGGAAAGTTTTCAAAAATTCTCCATCTAAATAGAGAAGGCCTTATTTTGTTTCACTTGAAAATCCATCATACCTGGAATATTCTATATGATTATCTTCTAACATATCTTTAAAATGAATAAATAAGCTTGTATTTTTCTAATGGAAATTGCATTCCTTGATAGCTTTTCATTTCTGTTCCAGAATCAATCCGGAACGAATATTATTGGCGTTGTTCGTGCGAGCCGTTCATCATCAACTGAAGCAATGCTTGTGGCCGTATCAATAACGAAAACAAATTTGGAAGCGTTAGCTGTAGTGCTAGCTTTGGCAACTTATTGTCGAGGTGTTTTCTTTTTTTTTTCCATATAAATTTACTTTTAAATCAATTCCGATGATAAAATAAAATTAGTTTGTATTGAAGTTCATTTGAAATGCATTTTTTTTTTTTCAGAACAAATATATTGGGCTCGTGATATTCAATTCATTTTCGTAGACAAAAGTCTAGTCGGCTTGACAGCTTATCTAGCTCAGTATCACGAGCATCATCATTCATTTTTGCAATCTGACAAATTACATTTTCATAGTGGAGCAATCGTTGGAGCTTTCGCTGTAAAAGCGAAAGGTTCAGTGTTTGATACGATAAACATTGAACATAACATGGTTAATGGTTTATTACCAAATTTGGATTTAATCAATTTAATGGCAAAATTGGCGGATAAATTTGGACTAAATCCGGAAGTTTTCAATCATGGATATCAAGAATCATGGTGGGATTTAGCCGAAACAACTAGTAAAGCTATGCTCAGTCAGGTATTTCCATTTTCATGATTGTTTAAATTACATTTAGTTTTCCAGATCATTTGAACTGAATGTTATTAGCAAGAGTTCATATGTTGGATTGGATATATTTTTCTTTCGCATTTCTATAATTTATGATAAGTGTAGATACGGGAACTTAATTCAATTTTCAGGCTAAATCAGATTTTAAAAAAAACTGATCATATTTTGGCTTAAAAAAAGATCTTTTTCAGGCCTTCAATGAGAAAGAAGGATTGCATAGCATTTTTGGACCATACGGAATACAAGCAGTAACTATACATGTTAAAAATGCTATGGAAGGACATGCATCGCTAACAGATTTAGGTCGAATATGTGAAGGAGCATTAAGGTTTACTTTTCAGATTTCAGTTTAGTCTTTTTATGATTATTAAGATGATTTTAAAAGTTTCAAAGTGATTGAATTTTTGATTAATTCAATGTAATTTGATCTTTTAAGATCAAGTAGTGATCAAACTGTACATTAACGAATATTTAAATATTGATAATAGCATTTGTGCCATCACAGAGTTTTTCTATGCTATCAGTTTTTACTAATATTCCCGAATAAATAATAAAAAAGCAACTTTAGCTTAGGTTATTTATTTTACGCTATGGCCTTGATCAATTATAAAATACGTTCATTACTTGCAATCATTGCTTGAAAATGGTTACACTTTTCTCTTTTTGAGTTGTTTTGTTATTTACAATTATAATTCAGACATGTTAAGAATTAAATAACTGCATAGATAATTATATATAAATTTTTAAGATTACCATTTTAAACTTTTTTTTTATTTCATTTTAGAATTTTTTGGATTTTTACAGATCACTGAATAATATCTTGGAAAAGTTTCACCAGTCATACTTCCTTTATATCATGACGGATATACGACATTTTCTTTCTGTAGCTTATTACATGCCAGCTCTTGGTCTTATTTTGTTTCCACTATTAATACTGGTAAGCTTCATCAACTATCCATGGTGTATATGTGTGTGTGTGCGTCTATATGTATTCCATTTATCTGTTTATCTATGTTTGTATTTCTGTTTGTTCGGCTTATCAAAACCCGTGTTGGCTATCATTTATGAATGTATTTGTAACACATTAATTTCTTGAATTAACTTTTGTAGACTTTAAAAATTGGAATCATTTCAAATTTAATGAATTTAAAAACTGTTGTAGACGTTTCAAACCTATATCTTTATGCTCTACTTTTTTTTTCTAAATATTTTTGAACTATGATCAGAATTGATCTGTTCTATTATCTAATACGTTTCTCAGTGCTGCTCTATTGGTAAGATGAAATAATATCGATTTGTTTCAGGCACTTCGTAACTGGTTCAGTTTGAAAGAATTCAGTTTTCCGAATTCATTCGTTCTTCTTCATGTAATTGGAATAGTGCAATATTGTATTATCAGAAATGTTGCTGTATCACAATTTTATCATACCTATATGGTTATGCTATCATTTTCCGCTTTCATTCCATGGTATTTGCTTTTTCCACTGTAAGTTTAACACATTAAATGTTATTTATATGGATAAATCTGAAGCAAAGTCTACCATTTATTATCTTTTTCCAACAGCATGATAAGATATAGATGATAGGTATAGCTGTTTTTGTCTCATTTCATTTTATTATGAGTATTATTTAAATAAGCAACAAATAAAGTGAGCAGTTTTTATTGCTTCTTCGTGTAATATAAAAAGTTGGTCGATTAGTTCAATCGTTTAAAGGAAAATTTAATAGTTGGGAGTTTTAGACGATAGAAATCCTTG